TTTTTCTTTTAACGAAACACTAGCGTACCACTGGGAACCTAAATTCGAAGACTGTGCTACTTTTCTTTTGTTTTCATTTTCCGTTTGTCTTTTGTTTGTTTGTTTGTCAAGCGTTTGTTGAAAAATTGACCGCGGTCAACAGCAGGATCATAATGTCTTCCTTACCTCATGCAAAATAACAGGTGATCATGGAAGTCAGCGAATTTGAAATCGAATTTGTGTCCATAGCTGCAATTCCAACCCATGCTGGTGAGGCATTTATTTAACCTCGTCTTGTTGTTCTGGAAATATTGGAAAACACTTTGGATTTCACATCGCTCGGTCACTGGTGGAGCAAATGGCAGGCGATCTGTCGAATTTTGACAAATATCCTCTAAGGTAATGGTTGAGTTCTCAAATAGCACCTTCATAGTGGAGATCGCAGTTTGAAGCTCCAAGGCCTAAGTGAAGAGCACAGTGCAAGATTTGAGTCTTTCATGAGCACAAACTAATTTAATTGTTTACTCTTACCATGACACGGTAAGGGACTCTTTCTATGATTGTTGTCAGTGTCACGGTCACAGTTTCCTTAACTGTCACTTTCATTCTAAAGTCACTGTCATTGTCACCCTTAAAGTCACACAATGCAACCCTTGCTATCAGTCAAACTGTCGCCCACAATGTCACTGTCACTCTCGAAGTCACTGTCATTGTCACCCTCACTGCCACTTATTTTCAACGAAGTTCATTTTATTTCACCCGTTGTCACTGTCGCCGCCAAATTCACCCTAATCTGTCTCTGTCATTATCACTTTCACCGTCACCCTCAAAGTCACCGTCACTGTCAGTATCACGCTAAAGGCAGTCATTTTCACTGTCACGGTCACAAGCTGTCATTGTCACTGTCACGGGTTAAGGATAATGGCACAGTCATTGAAAATGTAACAGTCAATGACTACGCCACTATCCCCGTCCCTGTGTTATGGATAATACCTGCAAGATAAATATCTAGAAATTTCAAGAGTACCTAGTCAACATGGAACTTTCCAGAACGTTGTAATAGGTCACGTATTTAAGATGTTACGCTACCAAAATAGTTGTTCTGTAAGCTTCCGGAATATTCTCGAAATAGTTGTAAATGTATATAAGAAGTCAGTGCTGTGGTAGTTGGTTAGTTGTTGTTGTCGGGAGCGACCGACGGTCTGAAAAGCTATACCGGGAGAAAACTACTGCGGAGATTTTTCATCTAGGGAACTTTGGAGGAAACCGTGAATTTTTGTCAGCGGAGAGCTAAGTCTTTGTGCACAGTGGGCTTAAGTAAGTTTATTAAGGATAATTGCTTTATTGTCTGCTGGAGGCGCTCCTAAGTATGAATATTACATGTCGTTAAATAAAGTAGTTGAGTTAAAAGGAGTATAGTGTACTTTGTGTCGGTTATATTATACTGTAACAACTGTCACTTGCAAGTGTCTATGGTTGTAACTGTTACTGCCATTGTCAGGTGAGTTCCCTGATAAATTTGCCGGTGATTCCCAAGTGGGAATCCTTACCTGATTTAACAGCTCCAAGTGAAAGATTGGACCAAATGGAATCCACTTATCATCTGCGTATCGATGGTATCCTGCAGGTGAAGGGTGAGTGGATTTGATGGTCAGTCGTTCTTTTCGCACTGGACAACTTGCAGCACAGTCCTGGCAGCTGCAAACGCTTGCTGTCCTGTTGGTTTGGGGATCTATAAATGGCTTGTTACACTTAAAAACAGTTTGGTTCATCCATGAAAGATTCGGAATCAGGTGGTCTGGATATTGGATGGTGCAAGAAGTGAATATATTCTCTGTGTTTCCCATGAACCTGAGAAGTTTATCAGGAGTACACCGGTCGGCGGAAGTACCACAAAGGAGACTCAAAACCTTCTCGCTGCTTCCAGGAAAAATAACATCTTTGCAGGAGTCGAACAGACCCTGTTTGAATTGAGGTGAAACAAAATATTGAACTTCCAAGATATATTGTTTAATAGAAGGCGATGGTGTAAATGGGTACACCACAGTTGGATCCAGGAAAAGCGACTGATCCTGACTGCAGGTAAGCTGACAATACAGCCTTCTCATGTTGTTCCAACAGGCGGGACAACGACCGGTTAGTTGAATTAACGTTTGCAAATTGTTATCCAACGATTGCAGTTGTTTGGTTGAACAACAAGTTGGTTGATCCCTCAATTCTGGGCATAAATTGTTCAATATCTGCACACCCTTTGGATTGGTTAAATTCTTGGCCGGTCCATTGTAAAGGCAATTCTTCGGCTTGTACCCAGTTGTGCATTGATCGTACCACACACAATAACCCTTGGTGTGATTCTTGACTATGTCACCATTTACCTGAAATAAAATCAAACTAGCTAAAACAAACTGCCAAATACATCTAAGATCCCAATCAATCACCATATGAATTAACCTGAAACAAAACCGAAAAATTATAAGCTTTGTCGTTGACAATAAATAATCATCCTGAAGGACTTCTAAAGCGTGACTTAGAGTAAATGCAATGAAAGAAAAGAAGAATTTTCCCGGTAAGAACATGGAGGAATTTGAATTTCATATAACACGTCTGAATACTCTACGCAAAATTTTTCACGACAGAAAAATCGTGAGGTAGTCCTTGAATTGGCAGGGATTTAATTGAAGAAGAAAGCGAAGCTTCTGGACTGGAAAATCTTTATCATTCACCGCCATTCACAGTTTTAATGTGCGAGATTCTTAACAAGTGTGTTACTGACCGTGACACATTCGAAATAGCGGTTATCTCCGGGCTATAGTGATCATCGTATTCCCAATACCGTGACTTTGCGATTCTTTTTTTACCACAGAAAAGGGAGAAAAATAAGCAATGACTGGAAAGACACTCGTTTTGACACTCGTCCCCTAGATATTAAATATGCTATCTTTTTCTCGCTACTAAGATTACTTTGGCATATCTGTTGATCTAATGCAACAGAATGTCCACTTCCGGTCACGTGTGGACTTCGCATTCGGTTTCACTTCTCCCAAATCGATCAGTGGCCGAGTTTCCGACTTGGAAACAAAGGGTCATTAATTTAACTGATTTAAGTCAAGATTGAGTACTTTACAAAAGTCTCACACGACAGATTTACTCAACGTTAGCTCCGGATGACTGAAAAGAAAGGAAGAGGAAACTGACGAAGATAAAATAAAACGGACTGTAAATGATTAACCAAATTTGAACACGCGCAAACCGAATTTATTTTGCTCTTAAGCATTGGTGGAAGCTTTCAAAATCGATTTCGCGCAAGGATTTTAGACAGAGAGCATGTTATACACAAACTTTAATGCATAGCTGCAATTGAAATGTTTCCTTGCCACGCTGCGTTTGTACCATTTTTTTTGCAAATAATTATGACGACCAACTAAAAAATCTAATACTTAAATTCATGACAGGAACTCGAGTAAAGATACTCGATCTGATCCGCTGTGTTTAGACAGCTTAAGCAGGCTATGGAAATTCAGTCCATTTTGAGTTGCAGACATGGGCTCCTGATTGCAGAAAATAGTGAGAGATGTCGATTTAGGTTAAAGAACGAGAAGAGTGCATACTTTACTCATGCCACGTATGCAAGATAAACAAGGCTCAGCGCCAAGTCGGTCTTTGCACCCTGATTACGACCGACTGCTACGAAATACTTCGATGTATATTTTAAGTCTAACCTGTAAGAACAGCGACATCAATACAGGAATTATTGTGGGAGAAGCCAACAACACCATTTTAGCCATTTTTGCAGTACTAAATGACGAAGATCAGAGCAGATATCAGCTTGTTAGGTAGTGAGCGATTTTTCCTCTTTCAATCCTCATCTGCGCATGCTTCACGACGAATAACGAAATCCTACGAAACTGCGAGAAGGATCTTGTTACTACGGCGATAGTAGAGGCGAGGCTGACGTGTTTTGAGCCAGCAAGCGAGCAAGTGAGCGAGAAGTTCTACGACCTGATCCCTCACAGACTTCTCGCACGCTCGCCTCGCTCGCCGGCTGGAATTTCGCGGTCCTCACCTCTCGTGCTTCAGCGCGAGAGCCTGCTCACAAATCACGAAAGCGGAAATATGATATCGTGACACTGGTGCACTTTATGAGGAATGCGAGATGGAGCTTTCTTACAACCGTTCTTAGGTCACATCACGAAAAACTTTCAACTATAGCTAGTCATTCTTTAAAGGGTTTAAGTGTTTCGCATAGGCTTCAGTGCAGGCGTCATTTTTAGCCTTTTTGAGGCGAGTAGAGGCAAGAGCGTGGAGAATGCGAGGAGCGAGATATGCGCGAAAGGGAGACGCCTGAATAAATGGAAAAGGAACACACACGAATATATTGTTCCTCTCGCGTGTATTTTGCATAGTTCTCGCCTTTCAGTTCGCCTCAAAAACGCAAAAGGAAGCGGCGCATGGGGGAAGCGCGCAACTAAACGAAAAAATGAAAAAAGACATGAAAATAATGTTCCTCTCGCTTGTTTCTCACTTCGTGTGTTTCGCTCTTCAGTTCAAAAAATGGCAGTGGCTCTTCCGCAGGCTATTAAGACTTTTAAGTTCCTCGCATGATGCAACACCGCGTCATCGCCGAAGTCACGTTCAGACTTGTACAACACGTGACGCTCTTACTAATGACTAATTCAGTTTTCGCTCTTCTTGAGAAGTGAGAGTGGGAAGTCATTGCTTTGTTCGATAGTGAAGAAAAATATGAAAACAAACTTAGAAGCTAAATGCAAATGCTGACCGAGTTATTCCAACTATCGAGCGTAAAGAGGTGGCGTAGTAAATATCTTGAGTGAGGCCCGTAAAGATTTTATTTCAGATCGATATCGCAGGGTCACCATTGCATTTCAGTGGAAAAGAACCGTAACTTTAAGTAGTTTAAGGAAGACATCATGAGAGTAAAGATTCGGACCAATCTCATGATATACCTTTAGTTCGTAGGAACTAATTGGTAACTTTTTATCGTTATGTCGTTGCCGGTCTGCCCCAATGTTGCGTTCTTCCGCTGGCGTAACCAGTGCAGTCCTTTTCCGATATCGAGCCCAGGATCATTTTGGCTCCTTGTCCGCGGTACGGTCGTAAATTTGGTGACCATACTGCCAACAAGGAGTCAAAATATCCTTGGCTCGCGATTGGTCCTTTTCCGGACGTTTCCTAATGGATCGCAATGACGCCGTTCTCGTTTCAGGCTTTTGCTCGGTCACAACGTTGTGTTACTTTCTCTTCTCAAAGCTTCCTAATTACCATCACCGGCCTGATTACTGACGACAGTTCTTCTGCCAATAGGAACATAGACTTAACGATGTACCGTTTTACTCGGATTCAAACCAGTTGGTTTCTTATCTTCTCGACCAGACAGGGGCGCTCATTCGAAAAAATAAAACAGAAATTTTCAAAAAATTCGTGGATCCTTTCGAAAATGTTTAATAAGGCGGGAGCGAGAGGAGATAAAGTGGAGAAACCACAAGAAACCAAGCATGAGTAACAATATTAATTTTTATTCTAAAATTACATATCTTTTTCACTTTATCCTCTTTTAATAAATTAACATCTCGTCTTAAATCTAACGAAAAGGCTATCGATGAACACCATCCAATTTTTTCTTGTATATTTACAAGTCTTTAAACAGAATCAAAACCCTAAATGAAGATATCAAACCACAACTAAGGCTGATGACAGAATAAAAGCATGTGATCAAGACATGCCCGGTAAGGCTAACAGCCTGGTTAACACTAGTCCCAAGCTCTCGCAAGTTAACTTGTCTGCCACTCATTTGGTAGACTGTGGACAGTTCCTTAGCTTTTCTCTTTACCAAGTCTAACACTACCTCAATTTGAAGGAAAATGGAAAATGTTGTATCGTCACGATAAAGAAACGCGAAAGATGCAATAATAATCCAAGAAAAAATCAGGTTGACCAAAGATGAAGAAGATTACGAAGGATTAGTATAAATGTGTTTTAATGATGCTACAACCGTAACGTAGCTGGATTGATGCGTGATCGTTGAACAAGGAGTACGCGGCTCACCGATCAAACACAAATCCCCAACGATTTCGGAACAAATGAAAAAGCACATAAATATCTTATGTTTGTTTCAATGTGGTTCTTCAAAGAAGAATTCACCTGCGAGCTCAAACTAGGAAGCAACAACAACCTAAAGTGTGAAAAAAGTTGCTTAGTACATAAGCTTCCCTCCTACTGTCGCAGCTCTGTCCACAACAATGCAGCGGTCAACCGTTGGGCATGCGCAAGTGGATCAATTTTAGGCCGGCCCCGCGCCAATTTCCCGCGCAAAATCTAAGAAAGAAAACATAACTGACGTAAATTTGCGAAAAAAACAAAAAAACAAAACAAAACAAAACAAAAATGAAACTTTCACTGAAAGATTTGTAAAAGTTATAAAAATTAGGTAAGGAAAAATTTCGACTCCTCTAACACAATGCTTGTTCAATCATGGGTTTCCTATCGATTAAACAATGATCTAGCTTGTGAGGTTTTTGTTTTTTAAGTCTATTGAGGCTACAAGAGAGCATGCCACCTCGCCACTACAGCAATTGCACACACGCAGACGTTTGACCGCAGTATTGTTCACAACGAGCCTGCCCCCAGCAAGTTGGTGTTTTGCGCATGAATAGCATTCAGTGCATTAATCATGTTTCGCATTCACATCTGCAGATCTTAAATCTACGTTAACCCTTTCACTCCCACGCTCTCATTAGAAAATCTCCTGACTGACTACCATACAATCTCTATGATGGTAGTTTGGAGAATGTGGTATTTAATCAACTTGTTCGTGTAATCCTCTAATTGATATTTTTCTCTATTCTCATCACCTGTCTGCTTGATATTATTTTGATATTGTGATGAGAAATTATGTTTTGGTCACTCATGGGAGTTAAAGGGTTAATAAAGGTTGCAATGAGGGTTTGATAAGCCACATCACTGATTCTCACAATTCCATAAAGGCACTGGAAGACAAGAGTGGGTTGGTGCTGCATGAAGGAGAACGGGTTGGAAATCACACGAACGTCCAGGCCTCCAGTCCACTACAGAGGAAGTCTTCTTTCCAGGAAAGCTGCGCGTTGTTGAATGTCGTGCAGGGATGACTGCGACCGTGATAGAGGTCTCCATCTAACCACAGACCAAAGTTTCCTCTGCAGAAAGCAGATAACATATCAGAACAACGCAATTGGCCTAATTAGAGCACCTCTCAAGAGATCCCAAGGCTCCCACAAAAATTGTTTTTTGAAGACTTCACCACGAAAGTTATTGTGATAATGAAAAGAACCAAATTTATGTGCCTTTGCACCCTAACATCAGTATGCATATTCTCCATACTGTTCTCTATACATTTCCTAAGGTGCTGACAAGGAGAATTTGATTAACAATCCAAACCCTCTTCAGTGGGTGATCATTTCCTTAATTCTCATGACCTTAATGTGTAATTCTGGGCTGGTAATGTAAGGAGAATTTAGATGTTAGTCACTCCTAGGGGACAAAGGCTCAATAAGGAACACGACGCTTGTTCATGGGCGGTGCTCTTTGATCCAAGATTCTAATTTGCGTCGTTTATGGTCTTACCCTCCACTGCCGATGGCCAAACTATCCTTTGACCCTTTGATGAAGAAGTTGTTTTCCCCAGTCCAGGCAAATATCTGCAACAAAGAGGGAGTGGCGCGTGAATGTCAAGAAGGCAAATGAAATGGTGTAGAGCGCGATTAGCGCGCTTGCTCAATACATCGCCACTAGACTGTAAATGACGATTGACTAAAGAACAGTAGCAAAAAAAGGGCTACCAAGAGGGCCACCAGGAAGCTAAAAACAACTCACTGCCTCACAGACTACGCCGTCAACGATTAAGAACTTTTGAATCAATATCAATATCTGGGCAACTGCCCACCTACCCCTCCCCTAACCCAACAACAGTCTATTGATAACAAGTTAGGGTTAATGTTGGGTTAGGAGAGGGGTAGGTAGGCAGTTGCCCAGATACTGATATTGATCCATTGTTTTTTGACCTTACGTAGTTTTTAGTATTTGATCATAATTCTGTACGATCTATTGTCGGGAATGCAATTTGATCATAAATTCGGGATCCACTCGAGATTTCCTAAAAGTCAACAAAGTCAAGAGAGTCGCTTGAGGAGTAGCTTGTTCCAGGCTTTAAGTTATTAACCCTTTACATAACATCAGTATGCATATTCTCCATAGTTTCTCTACATTTGTTAAGGTTCTGAAAGGAGAATTTGTTCAGAAATCAAGAACTTCCTTAGTTGTTGATCGTTTCCTTTATTCTCATGACCTTAATGTTTTATTCAGGGGAGATCTTGTGGGGAGAAATCAGTTGCCAGTCATTCTTAAGGGTTAAAGGGTTAAAACGGAGCGAAGAACGAGGGAAGCTTGGGCCGGGTCGCGCCCGGACCCAAGCCTCTCTCGGTTTTTCACTCCTCTCTCTGAAATCACACCATTCACTACCACGCTCCGTTTTACTAACTGAACGCCTGGAACAGGCCGCTTTAGAAAGACCTTGAGGTCGTACGAAAGGAGTACTTCAGATCGCTGCAGTAATTCGAGAAAGAGCTCGTTTAGTTTCAGAACAAATATTCACCGGCTGAACAGTTGACAAGAGTAATAAACTAACCTTCAGAGAATTATTTTCAAACTTATACAAGAAAGACTCCCCTGTGCCATAAAATCCTTCACTAACTTTGAATGGACAAGAGCACAGCGAACCGAAAATCTAAAAGAAATAAAAATAGTGTTAATTAAACGAAAAAGAACGTTTGCTTTTTTTTTTTTTTTTTTCGCACGCCTGTAGTGGAACAAAGGAAGCTGAAGTTAGTCTTGTTGCGATTTAAGAACAAACCGAAAAAAAAATTAGGAGCAAACTTTAATTCTAAACATCTTGACATCAATGTGCATATTCTCCATACTGTTCTTCATACATTTCCTAAGGTGCTGACTGGGAGAATTTATTTAACAATCAAGAACTTCTTCAGCTGGTCATCACTTCCTTCACCCTCCTGACCTTAAGGTGATTCAGGGATGATATGGTAAGGAGAAATTAGATGCTAGTCACTCTTACGGGTCAACGGGTTAGTGTTTTTGGCATAAAGTTAAAAAAACATAACCTCAAAACACGTTGTAATGTTACACAAAATCTCTAGACTTTGTCTAGCGACTGAATTTCATTTCTAACGACCCTACATGATTTTACGTCGCCAAATAGCCATGTTGAAAGAAATTTAACGTGGAGCTAACTCGATAAGCATAGAACCTTTGTCCCTCTTGCTCAAGTGGAAGGTTCTACTAGCC